TATGCCTTCGCTTTCTTGTTATGCCTTCGCTTTCTTGTTATGCCTTCGCTTTCTTGTTATGCCTTCGCTTTCTTGTTATGCCTTCGCTTTCTTGTTATGCCTTCGCTTTCTTGTTATGCCTTCACTTTCTTGTTATGCCTTCACTTTCTTGTTATGCCTTCGCTTTCTTGTTATGCCTTCGCTTTCTTGTTATGCCTTCGCTTTCTTGTTATGCCTTCGCTTTCTTGTTATGGCTTCACTTTCTTGTTATGCCTTCGCTTTCTTGTTATGCCTTCGCTTTCTTGTTATGCCTTCGCTTTCTTGCTATGCCTTCGCTTTCTTGTTATGCCTTCACTTTCTTGTTATGCCTTCACTTTCTTGTTATACCTTCGCTTTCTTGTGTGTGGACCAAAAAGTAGGGATTCACTGGCCAGAAAAAGCCACTTCATACCTGTGTGGTGTAGACCAGGCTGAATAGTGGCGGTCAATTCTTCAGCCTTGCAATCTGTTGAATGGTTTATTTTATTTTTTTTTGAGAACGGAGAGCAGCAGCAGCCTGCAGGTCTTATTCGATAGTGAGGAAAATGTTATCAACTCCAAAGCACGAAAAAGGCCAAAAACTAAACCAAGAACATATGCAATAACATGTTATTTATAAAGACAGGACAAGTGAATAATTAGTCAGTCCATTGTTCATGATGATCTCCGACGGTTACGTCGGCAAGCGAGCCTCCGCCACTGCCAAAGCAGCGTGGGCTCCGCAGGAGGGTGCAAATTTCAAACCAAAATTTAAACGCCTACAACCGCGAATGCACATGATACAGGATTTCAGAAGGCTGAAGGAAATCCTGCATCTAACAAATGCCATAACATGAGAGTAATGCTCACCCCTCTTCTCCGCCAACAGATGAGCAATTCGTTTGTACAGTGCTGTTGATGCTGGACCCATTCCGCCACTGGCTGACATGACCGCCGGAACAAAGGAGGCTTGCTCAACCTGCCTCACCCGCTCCTCATAGTGCCTTCTCTTTTCTTTTTCATGTCGCTGATACACAATAGTATGTGGTGCAGATTGATTTGAGCGTGAGTGAGGATTAAAAACCCGTATATCAATAAGTGTACGCTCAAAACGACTGCCCCACAAACTATTGGCAGCGACATCCAACCGGGCACGGTCTTCCACATTTGCGGTCCGGTAGCGAAGACGCTCCCCCGTCAGCGGTTGCAGCAAGGGCTCGATGGACACACTGGTGCACACCTCGTCCAGCAGCCGGGCCGTGACGTCCCGAATACCATTGTGTCTAATGGAGGGAAACCCTCCATAGGGGCACGACAGGGAATGCGCGACAGTTGCCTCTTGGCCGCAAGAGCAGTGTGACGGTACCCTGGCCGGTGTCCATCCGTAACGGAGGCAGAGTCCGTCCCAAAACTCTCCCTTTGTTAAATTAAAATGATATTTCTTAAGTGGACGGCACGTCAGCCAGCTCGACGACCCTTTCTCCTTCGCGACGTCTATGACATGTCGTAGCGACTCCGACGCACTGCCCGATATCGCGTCGAATTCCAGTTTCTGATGACGTCGAGAAGATGCCTTGGCGTCTCTCTTGGCCGATCTGATTAACACTACCGAGTTACCGATGGAGTCATCCCCTGACAAGATTCTCTGAGACAAAGGGTTGGTCATCCGAACCGACGAGTCGTATTGTTGGCATAGGGACACAGGATTAATCAAACCGAGCCCACCCAGACGACACGGCAAAGCCATAAGCCGTCGGAGGGTGTCGCCTGGGGGTGCACGGCAAGTTAAGGTGGGAATCAGTTCAGACTTCACAATGTCCTCCAGCGGTTGGAACATGGGTTCGGGTACCTTCATGGTACGACAGAGGAACGCCCATCTACCCCTGAGGCCCGTCACATACGCAGAATACGCAGCCTGCGGCTGGGTTTGTGCAAATACTGCTAGCTTCTTCAGTTCCCCCATCCATTCGTCCACCTTTGTTTTGATATAGCTTTGAAGAAAGCTGTCCCTTCCGATTGCTGCGCCAAGATATCGTGATCCCTCGTCCGTTATCATTACACCAGTGTCTCGAAACAATTCAGTCGCCTCCTGGTAACACCTTTCCTTGACGACAAGGACCGATTTCTTTGGGTTTACGTAATATCCATATGCCGGTCCTCTCTTGTCCATTATGTCCCACCATAGACGGAGTCTGCGAAGACGAGCAGCAGCGGATGAATCGTCCGCGAACCATGACTGCACCGCACCCGCCTCATCCGCCAAACGTATCAAGGGCATTATTCCCAACGCGTACATGTACATTGCAAGGGGATCACCCTGTGTTGTCCCTTCTTGCGACAGGATACTTTCACCGTCCACGTAGAGATGAGCTGGATCACGGTAGGTATTAATTAGAACGGTAGCAAGTGATGGACACAAGTGCCGAACATTTCTTAAGCAAGTCTGTCGATTTAGTCTGTTGAACGCATTACTTGCATCCGCCATCAGAATTCCTTCGGTGTCATCCAGCTCAAAGGCCTGCTGCATCGCATGTATTCCCGCCTCTATACCGCAATCCTGGCCAGCGCATAGCTGTATACACCCAACCGCCTCCTGAACGGCTTGGCCTACGACGGAGAGGATGGCCTTGCTTATAATGCGTCGAGCGACCTCACCTATTCCAATCGGCCGGACACCGGGTTGCTTGTCCAACGCTATCAATCTGCACGCAGTGAAAGCCGACAAAGATGCTGGGTGCACGTACGTGGAGGCTAAACGCCTTGCACACGATGCTAGTGCATCGCAAAGGCCCTGGGAGGTGTCAGAGAAACTAGCGCAAAAATGCCTCCAGTTCTCGGCGTCAACACCACTCGGCCCCGCAGCACCTTGCGTACCGAGCGCTGCACTCTTGATCGACTGACGTCCAAGGCTGCTGAAATAGATCGGATGAGGTGGAGCAGGTGGATCACCACCAATAACGGCGTCCTCGCTCATCGGCTCTGCGAGTGGATGTTTGTCTTTCAGGATATCCCGGACAGTGCGTCCGTCAATCTCGTCGTCCAACTGATGCACGCCTCCATCATCACCGCTTGTCAAGCCACGGAGCGCCTTGCCCACTTTGCCCGCGGTGACATAATCTGCAAAACGCCTAGCAGGGTCAACCGACGGACCCACTGAATCACGTTTATGTTTGTTCTTGGACGATAGAAGAGAGGTCTGTATGGTGTCCGCTTCCCGAATGGTGCAATCCCAGGACAAGCTGCTATGGGTCCTGCTGTAGCATTGCTATCATCGCCTCCGGCGATGGGCGCCCAATGGTCCAATGGTCTGTGTGTGTGTGTGTGTGTGTGTGTGTGTGTGTGTGTGTGTGTGTGTGTGTGTGTGTGTGTGTGTGTGTGTGTGTGTGTAGCATTATGGTGATAATGCAGATTAATTGGTGCACGCAGCTTTCTGCTACCGCTCAATCTATGCTGCTATGTTTGATAGTGCTGTTACTGCATGCTCACGCTTTGCTGCTGGCTATGGTCTCTGTGCGGCTTGGCACTCTGCATGATATTGAATGCATCTCTCTACGTGACATTGAACGTGTCTCTGTTCATGCGTGTCGCTGGCCTCCGATGCGCGGCGTTATGGTGGCGCTTGCTTGTAACTCTACGTGGGTGGGTTTGGCGGTGTTATGATGGCGCTTGCTTGTAACTCAACGTGGGTGGCATGCATCGTTGCATGTCTTGCTAGACGCTGTCCTTTTCGTCCCTACCAACAGTCCTACCAACAGTTTTCCGGCTTCGCTAGTAACTCCAAGGGCTCAGCCTCCCCAGGACAATCGGTCTGCCGCAATTTCAATGCGGGTCGGTGCTTCGGCCCTTGCTCCAGGTCCCACATCTGCCAAATCTGTCGGGGTCGCCACCCAGCTTCCCAATGTAAGGGTAACACCACCAGCTCGGGGGCGGGTGGTAAACCCAAGCAATAGGGCTGCCAACGTCATGCCAGCCTTCAGTGTCCAGCGCGACACTAAGGCCACCATCCACCGCACACTGCATAATACTGTACATTCTGTCCATACGCCTCTGCACGTTTCCCGTTTTGCGTCCATGCTTGCTTCACATCCTGATCAGCAATTCGTCAATTATGTATGCAACGGCCTTGCTTACGGTTTCTCTGTCGGCTTTGAGGGCCAGCGTAAGACTGTAGTAGCCCCGAATCTCACCTCTTCAGCTCCTCATTCACAACATATTTCGGACTATCTCCAACGCTGCTGCAAGGACGGTATGACAGCTGGTCCATTTACCACGCCACCATTTAGCCCCATGCAGTCGTCTGGGCTTGGCATTGTTCCGAAGAAAAACGGTCGTCTTCGTGTAATTCACCATCTGTCGGCACCGGAAGGGTCCAGCGTAAATGACGGCATACCAGCGGACAAGTTCAGCTTGAGGTATATCCACGTCGACGATGCAGTTCGTGCCATCATGTCAGTGGGCCGCGGCGCCCTATTGACGAAGCTCGACGTCCGCAACGCGTTCCGGCTCATTCCAGTCTCCCCTGATGACTGGCCGCTGTTGGGCATTCATTGGCAGAACCAGTACTATTTCGAGAAGGTGTTACCGTTTGGTCTGCGTTCTAGCCCGTTCATTTTTAACCAGGTTGCGGAAGCCGTTGAGTGGATTTTGCGTCACCAGTTCGCCATTCCGATCATCATGCATGATTTGGACGACTACCTCTCTGTGTCTGCGCCTTTCTTGTCCCTCGCGTCCAAGCAACGCTCTATTATTGAAGAAGCCTTCACATCCTCGGCGTTCCCCTTGCGGTGGAGAAGCTGGAGGGCCCTGTGACGGAGTTGACATTCCTTGGCATCACGTTGAATTCCGAGCGGTTCGAAGCTCGGCTACCAGATGATAAGCTAACCGATATTAAACAACTCGTCCTCGATGCTAGCTCAACTCGCTCTATCCCCGCAGCAAAGTTCGTCTCTCTATTGGGCAAGCTCTCTTTTGCTGCGCAGGTGATTGTTCCGGGCCGCACGTTTATGCGCAGATTATGGGACACCGCTAAGAAGTTCAGCAAGGTACCTCGGCATTACCGAATTACCTTGAGCAGCGACTGTCGTAAGGACCTTCTGTGGTGGCAGGAGTTCTTAGCTAGTTGGAATGGCAAGTCGTTCTTCCTGTACCAGGCCGAGACTTCCAGTACCGACTTAGGTCTATACACTGATGCTAGTGGCACCCTTGGATGGGGCGCCTATTATGCCAACGAGGGCAGGTGGATGTACAGCCGCTGGGAGCAAGACACCATGGACCTGTCCATTGAGTACAAGGAACTGTTTCCTATTCTCGTTGCGTGTGCCACGTGGGGACATATGTGGTGCCGGCTTCGCATAGCATTCCACTGCGACAATCAGGCCGTGGTTGATTGCTTGGCTTCGGGCACGTCAAAGTCTCCACCTGTGATGGCCCTCATCCGCAAACTGTTCTTTGTGTGTGCGAGGCATAACTTCTGTGTCGTAGCCCGTCATGTGCCTGGCAAGTCTAATGCAATTGCGGATGCCCTCTCTCGTTTTAAAATGCAGGAATTTTGAATGCTCGCCCCGCGGGCTCGACAGGGCCCGGACACGCCAGTGCCCCTTCCCTCCTGGGACTAAGCAGCGAAACAGCCCGATACGCGTCCCTAGCCATTGCGCCATCTACCAGGGCAGCATACCGTTATGGAGAACAGCGCTACCGGCAATTCTGCCAGTTATGCCGATGGGACCCGTTGCCGGCCACAGACAGTATGTTATCGAGCTTTGCGGCCTACTTGGCGAGGTCTGTGAAGCCGGGTACAGTGGCCAATTACATCTCGGCCGTTCGTAATCTGCATCTCGAGTGTGGCATGGATGATCCTACGACAGGCGCTACCCTGCTACCGCGCATGCTTTTAAAAGGGTATTAAGAGAGTGAAGGGCACTGCTCCGTCCATGACCCGTCTTCCACTGACAAGTGATCTGATCCGGTCAGTTGTGGACCGGTTGCGGAATGACCCGACTTCTACTCCAGACGATCGCGTTATGCTGCAAGCCGCAATCCTGTTGGCGTTCCACGGCTTCCTGCGGTGCGCTGAGTTTACTGTAAGCGATCACGCACCGTTCGACCCAAGATTTGATGCTGCCGGCGATAGTGTGAAGATCGCATACCATGGTGGTAAGCCCGCGTTGCAGTTTGTTGTGAAGCGGTCCAAGACGGACCCGTTTGCCAGAGGCATGACCCTATACATCGGGCCAGCAACGCCGCAATATTGTCCCGTTGCTGCCATGGTCGAGTACTTGTCACGCAGTAAGCCGCCGTTGTTGCGGCCCTTGTTCCGGTTTAAGTCAGGCGCACCGCTGACTCGCCGTCGCTTCACTGCTAAACTGAGAGCCCTCCTGCAGTTGTCCGGGGTGAGTAATGTGGCTGATTATAGTGGCCACTCCTTCAGGATTGGTGCGGCGACAACGGCTGCTGCAAACGGCGTACCTGTGTGGAAAATCCGTGCTATGGGTAGGTGGCAAAGTGACTGTGTTCTGAGGTACATTCGCACTGATCCGTCGGACCTGCTGTCTGTTCCTATGGCTCTTCACAGTGGGCCTATTTAATTGTGTAATGTGCCCTGTAATCATGTGTGTGTTGCATGGACTCTTGGCGATGGCCTCATTGATACTATATTTCGTGCTGAGACAATGCACGAACCATTATTGCCTCTACCTTACTTCTTACCTTCCACCCTGGGCGACCTCTAGCTCTCCTGCTGTTTGCACAACTGCGCTCGTGGCTTCTTCGGTGCGGGAATTGCCGGCCATTATGGGCCACGCTCATTTCCGGCTACTCAGGGCCCTCGGTCGCCGTCCCTCGGACGCAGACTCTTGTAGATACTTGGCTCCGCCAACATTCTGCTTCGGCAGTGTCTACCCGGCCGACCCTGAATCCTCTCTCGTAGATACTTGGCTCCGCCAACATTCTGCTCCGGCAGTGTCTACGTATTTCTGTCCGTAGCCTCTCACTCCGCTGGCCGGCACTCCCCCATACCGCAAGTTGCTGTGTGTTGTTGTTAATGTAGCATTATGGTGATAATGCAGATTAATGGGTGCACGCAGCTTTCTGCTACCGCTCAATCTATGCTGCTATGTTTGATAGTGCTGTTACTGCATGCTCACGCTTTGCTGCTGGCTATGGTCTCTGTGCGGCTTGGCACTCTGCATGATATTGAATGCATCTCTCTACGTGACATTGAACGTTCTCTGTTCATGCGTGTCGCTGGCCTCCGATGCGCGGCGTTATGGTGGCGCTTGCTTGTAACTCAACGTGGGTGGGTTTGGCGGTGTTATGATGGCGCTTGCTTGTAACTCAACGTGGGTGGCATGCATCGTTGCATGTCTTGCTAGGGTTTGCTCTGCTATATATTTTCGATCCGTTCTGTGCGACGATCATTCTTGTTTGCTCGTAGTGTTTCACCCTCCCACCTCCCATTTCTCATCACTAATTTGCTTTGATAAAGTGAATAAACGGGGTGTTGGCCACGCTCATTTCCGGCTACTCAGGGCCCTCGGTCGCCGTCCCTCGGACGCAGACTCTTGTAGATACTTGGCTCCGCCAACATTCTGCTTCGGCAGTGTCTACCCGGCCGACATTGTTAATATGTGTGTGTTGTAGTTTAAAATATGTGTGTGTGTGTGCGTGCGTGCGTGCGTGCGTGTGTGTGTGTGTGTGTGTGTGTGTGTGTGTGTGTGTGTGTGTGTGTGTGTGTGTGTGTGTGTGTGTAGGGTAGTTACCAACAGCCAGTGTATGCCGGAGTATTTTTTTTTTTTATTTATTTATTTCTGCACCTCGTGGCATGTCAAGACAGCCAATTGAATTGAGGAGAGGGTGAGACCAGCCACGGAAGAGAAAAAAAGAAAATGAAGAGCACGTACACAAAGTGGGAAGGGATTAGCAACTAAAAAGCAATGGGATGCTCAGCGAGCTATGCAGCGGAAGTGGTGACTGTGACTTTGTTTACTGGGAGATACTGAAGTGCTGTCTGACGAGGGTACGGAATTTGGGCATATCTGGAGCTTGTCTAACACGGGGAGGCAGTTGGAGCCACGTGGAGTAGGAGGAAAAGAAAGGGGAATTTAAGAATAGGTAGACCTAGCTAGGAGGAGACGAACGCAGCTTCGGGTGGTGCCACCTGAATTGAACCAACTAAGGGACTGTAAATGAGCAGGGTGCTGGTCAAGAAAAATTGAATGTGCCAGGGTGCACTTGGAAGCATCAAGGTAATGTTGCAGAGTGGTAGTGGATGCAGCAGCATACAAGTCTAGATTTGTGATAATATAACGATCAGTACGAAATATGATGCGCAGTATACGGCGATGGAGAACTTCTTATTTACCTATGTGGGTTTTGTTAATGGTGGACCAGGCAGGGAAGCCGTACGCGAAGAGGGGAAGAATGTATGATTTATAAAAATTAATCCGGCAAATTTGGGGCAAATGGGACAAGTGACTTGACATTATGCCGACAGATCGGCATACTTTGGACGACACATGATCAGCATGGTGAGACCAGGAGACGGCGGAATCTATGACAATGCCAAGGTGTTTATGGTGGGGCGCTACAGAGATAGGGTGACCGGGATCATCGGGAAAGTGGAAGATAGGCACTGGATCTGTGGGAGGGGGGGGGGGAAAGGAGGAGCTCGGCTTTGGTCACATTTGGCTTAAGGTACCAAGTGCTCATCCAGTGAACAATGTCGTTGATACAGGTCTGAACTTTGGGGTACAGGGTGGCGTGAGATGGGGAGGAAGCAAGGACAGTGGTATCATCTGCAAACAAAGAAATATTGGGAATTGAATAGGGGAGGTCATTAACGTATGTGAGGAAGAGCAGGGGACCTAAAATGGAGCCCTGGGGCACTCCGGATGTCACAGACTCGGGGTCAGATAAGGTTCCATTTACTGTGACGCACTGATTTCGGTCCAAGAGGTAGCTAGTTATCCAGGCGAGTAGGGAGCCGGAGACACCATGGGCACGAGGTTTGGCGATCAGGCCCTTGTGCCACACGGTGTCGAAGGTCTTGGAGAGGTCGAAGAAACAGATGCAGGAGACCTGCCGCTGGTCTTTTAGGGAGCAGAGGTCTTGGATTATGCAGGGACAATTGCATCGATGTGTTGTCCTTACGGCGGAAGCCAGATTGTGCGGGGTGAAGAAGAGGGGAGATATGGTCGTACAAGCGGTCGAACACTATTCTCTCTAGCAGTTTGGAGACGCAGGAGAGGAGGGAGATTGGTCGGTAATTAGACGGGTTGTTCTTGTCGCCTTTATTTTTGTACACTGGAATGACAGTGGCTGACTTCCATCGTGATGGGAATGTGCCGGAGGAGAGGGAAAGGTTAAAAAGAATGGAGAGTGGGCGGGCAATTGAGTAGCTCAGTTTCCTGAGGATCTCATTGGTGATCCTATCAGCTCCGGGGGATTTGTTCAGAGGCAGTCTTGCAATATACTTGTGAACAGTCAATGAGGTGATGATCAGGGAGTGCAATGTAGTTGCTGGTGGAGGTAGGGAGGAAATAGTGGGAATAGGAGCATCGGGGTCAACCTGTAAGCCAGCACTGACGAAGTGGCGGTTCAATAAGTTGCCAATGGATGCCGGAGAGGTGCTTGTTCGACCATTGGGGCCCACCATCTTCGAAGGTATGACCCGGGCGCTGGTAGGATTTCGCAGTTGACGAATGAGCACAGGGAGGGATGGGAGGCGAGGGTTTGTGGGAGATATCGTGGCACGGAGGTTGCGGATGTAGCAGCGATGGCAGGATCTGGAAAGGCATTTTACATAGTTACGTTGGTGTTTGTATTTGTTGAAATTTGTAGGGGATGGGTATTTCCGGTAGATGCTGTAGAGATCGCTCTTGACTTTAATAGCTGCTTTCAGTGATGGAGTCATCCAGGGGCAGGGTTTGTGGCGTGATTTCCGATGAGGAGGTGAGGATCTTCCTATATATAGGTCCATGGTATGTGGTGTGGTGTGTGTGTAGAAAAAAAAAGAAGAAGAAAAAAATGGAAAAATGAGAAATAGGGATTCACTGGCCAGAAAAAGTCACTTCAATCAGCTGTGTGGTGGATACCAGGCTAAAGATAGTGGCGGTCAATTCATCAGCCTTGCAAGCTGTTGAATGGTGTAATCCCAGCACAAGTTGCTATGTCTAACATAGCTGTTCGCTATCATCGCTTCCGCGATGGGCAGGTCTGAGGTGGTGTGCACAAGTGTGTGTGTGTGTGTGTGTGTGTGTTTGTGGTGTGTGTGTGTGTGTGTGTGTATGTGTGTGTGTGTGTGTGGTGTGTGTGTGTGTGTGTGTGTGTGTGTGTGTGTGTGTGTGTGTGTGTGTGTGTGTGTGTGTGTGTGTGTGTGTGTGTGTGTGTGCAAGGCTTCGATTTCTCTCTCTTCTCTTCTCTCTTCCTGTCGGTGTCTCCCGCTTCTGCCCTGGCATGGCCCATGCTTCATGCATGCTTGACTTCGGAATCTTCTGTCCATGTATTCAAGAGAGAGCTGCGCAAACATTCTTGTCAGTATTCAGGTCTACTTGCTGGCATGCCGTTACCCTGTTCATTGTAGTCCCCCCCCCCCCCTTCCCAATCTGCACTCTCTTGTACCATCATCCTTCAATGCGACGGACCCCACGATAGGCGGTCAGCCTTTGGGTCATCCTAATAAAGTTATTATTATTATTATTATTTCTGTTCTTGTGATATGTAAGCACAAGTACGTGTTTACTGTGTCCTGCCGCTACTCCAGCTTTGGCCACGTGACCACGATTTGTCTCCTCCTTTTCTCCTTTATCCTTTTTTCTTTTTTTTGCTAAGAACTTTCTTCTCGCCGTGACCACGATTTTTCCTTTCTTTTTTCTTCTTCTTCTTCTCCTTTAATTCTTTTTTTCTCCACAATGAAAAGTCAGTAACAGTACCGTCGGTCAGTGTCGTGCAATGTTATCACAAGAACGGATTGCTAATAACTGGTGGTGTTAGTGGACATTATAGCGGAACTTGTAGTTCATTGATCCTTTTCTTTTCTTCTTTTCTATAAACTTCTCCTTGGCTCTCCATCCGAGTCCAGACTGTAGAGAGTGGTTTTTTTCTTTATTCAATCAGTGCCTGGAGTTGTAAACAGATCGATACCCAGAAACCGATCAAGGAGTTATATGCATGCACCACGGGTCCTGCTGAGAAACGGTTCTCTGCAATGACATACTCCCTGGGCTCAAAAGAGTCATTACCGACCGGTGGTGTATGTTCAGACAGAGTGCGAACCGCGGATGCACATTATTGCTGGCCAGAGCAATGCAAAGGACAAGCTATGGATCCGTTTGACCGGATACTACCACTGTTCACCCAGTCCTTGTTCCTATCGCTGCCTGGGCTAATGCCACAGTCATACTGATGACAACACTGCTGCTAAAGACACTGACACCAGTACTACTAGTAGCACTGCAGAACTGCCACGCGTTGTGCTACTGCTGTTCATGCTACAGAACTATACATCACATGAACTACTGTGTAAGGTGTGGTGTGAGTTTGAGTTGGCTGTCTAATGTCTGCTGCTGGTCAATCATGACAGGTGCATTCTATTAATGACAAGAGAGACGCCTTTGTGACGCCAGAGGCTGTCTACCCAAGATAAAAGCTCAGAAGACGGGACACACACACACACACACATACACACACACAATGCACTACAGTAGACAGTGCTGTAGAGTGTTGCAGTATAGAACAGGACAGTTACAGTAGCAAGGGAAAAACCGTTGAACCTACTCGCACACACTCATACAGTAGAATAGTAGCTACTGGTGTTGCCAACAGCTGTAGTAGTACAGTGGTAGTGCTGTTGTAGTAACAAGAGCAAGACTGCCGTGTGCTTGTCAGAGTTTGAATGTAATTATCAACTGACCGTCAACAATATCACTCCTAGCAGAAAACTGAAGAAGAATATGATACATGGTGCACACCAGCCATAGCTATAGATTAGATGTGTGTGCTGGTTAGTTGCTTGTTCTAGTAATTCCTATCTGTGCACCTGTTACACTCAGGTCTATTGCTGATAGTTTAGAGTCGTGTAGTCACCGTCAACTGTAGCTGCGGCTGCTCAAGCAGCTGTGGGCTACCATGAAGAGATCTTGCCCATCACCAAACCAGGGCAGACCTCAGACAAAGAGACAGCAAAGATGGAGGGTGGCTTCGCTGCCAAAGGCTGTCAGAGAGCTGCGGGATTCGCTATGTGAAATCTACACCAATGTCCGCACTCTGGTTGAAGACAGCAGCACAGAGGAGGTGAGAAGTTTGAACATGGATGAGATCTATGCAAACTTGCATGTTGTCCCACTTGAAGAGCTTAGTGCAAGAATGCAGCAGCTGAATGCTGACAAATTAGGCAGCAGTGCTGGTATTGAGCAGCTCGCACACTCCCTTGCTTCAGCTGCAAAGAAGCTGTGCAAAATAAAGCTGGCCAACATCCTCACAGCCAAGAAGTCCATGAGATTAGCCAGGAGGAGGGAAACGTTCCGCACCATTGCCCTCTCTTGCGCTGGTGGGGGGAAGACGTGTCTGTTTACCAAGAAAGGTCCTTACGACTGGGCACTGGGTCGCATTTGGCAAGAGATGGCTCTGGTGTTCGCCCTTGAACTCCGCTTGCCTTCCGTGCGCCAAGCTACGTGTGCCGCTGAGCTTCTGGCATTGAGGAGTCACGACATCATCTCGGGTACTGATCAATCTGAGATCTGCGCATACGTGAAAGCCCATCCAGAGAGAATTTGCGTCATACTCGATGGATTGGACGAAACGAAACTAGACGAGTGCAGCCAGTACGTCCAGGATGTCATCGCCGGAAAACGCTTGCCCGGTATTCGCCTCATCATAACATCACGCCATTCCACGGAAGCAATGAATCTCATCCACAACCCAGAGGTTGTGTTCCACCAAAGCGTCGAGCTCTTGGGCTTCGAGCAGAAGGAGTTAGAGAAGTACGTCCGCAAGGTCCTCTCAGCTGAGAAAGCGTGCAGTCTCCTGGACAAGCTGAAGAGAAGTCCTCAACTGGCAGCAATCATGCGCACTCCACTGTACGCTAGCAGCATATGCCAGCTCTATTCCAACCAGCGAGACATACCGGATACGCTAGGCAGGATCTTCAACTCCATGATTCTCAATGTCATTCAACCAAAGACGGAGAAAGGCCTGAAGAAGACTAAACCTTACGAGAAGATGAACGATGTTCCTGATGGAATGCAGGAAAGCCTTCTTCATCTCGCCAAGTTCGCTTTCCACATGCTCATCCGGCGGAAGGTCGTCTTCACGGAGGCTGATTTCAGCATGTTTGCACTGTCATCGGCAGCTCGGTCACTCGGTCTTCTCATTGCCTGTGATAAGCCACTTTCACGGGCCCATCCGCAATGGCGTTTTAGCCACCTGGCACTTCAGGAAGCTCTAGCAGCTCGTTACATCGCTAGCCGCAGTCCGAATGCAGCTGACGTCGCTTGGCTTGTACAGCGCCTTGGAGCATTCACAGGCAGCCTCAACATGTTTTGGCGCTTACTGGCCACTGAGCTGGACAGTGAGTCCGTCAATGCGTTGATTGAAGCCATTGTCAATCCGCAGTCCACACCCTCCACTCAGCCACACGACGACAGCAAGTACGTCACAGGAGCAGAAGGGCACAGCGTCACATGTTTTCTCTTCACAACGCATGACCACATCATGGAATGGGCCGACCACGTGTCCTCATGTCTTTTGTTGGAAGACGCGGAGCGTCTTGCAGAAGAATTGATAGGCGACAGGATCGGCCTGGCATTGTCTGCTCCTGAAGTGGTCCGTCAAGAAATTGACCCGACCGTCACCAAAATCACCTGCAAGGATTTCGTCCGTTCACTGCTACCCATGTGGACGGATTGCGTGCCCAGTGCCAGTACACAGATGCTGCACGACTGCCTAACCAACGTCGGAGTTGGATCGGCCATTCGATGCTTCACCGTCACTCCCACGTCTAATCTGCCTACAGTTCATCCACACGACGAACCAGCTCAGCCAAACGCAGCCCAGGACAACGTCAGTGCCGCGGAACGAAGACAACGAATCCTCTACGCCTTCCGGATCTTCGCGGAGCACGTCAACAACAAGCAAAGCAGAATCGAAGACATCCCCAGCATACAAGCCATCATCAAGCAGCACGGAGTAGATTTCGACCGCGTTCCTCTCTCGCCATCCGATTGCCAGGCCATCAACGCAGTCATGATTCACCACCACCAGTTCATCACCAGCATCAGCCTGTACATCTGTGGTATAGGTGATACCGGGTACGCATGCATGGCTGATGGCATGGCTCTACTACGCAATCTTACGATCATCAACCTGCAACTGAACAACCTAACAGATCGTCGCACGGCCCATATCGCAGCGTGTATCGCATCCAACACGTCAACACTGCGACTACTCTACACAGCCATGAACCTGTTCAGCAGCAATGCTATGGCCACCGTCCACAGCAACACACACCGCTGTACGCGACTGCGGGGAGTGGACTTTGGAGGTCAAAAGTGCACCGATCCAGCAGTCAACCTTGACGTCATCACCACAGTCTGCAGCAGCTGCCCAGATCTCCAGGCCGTCAGTCTCGATGACTGCGTACTGGATATGGAAGGTCTAACCCAGCTAGCACCATTGTTAGGAGCACTGAGGCTGAGAGTGCTGGTGCTGCCCAAGGTTGGGATGAAGCAGAACTCGGCTACGATCGTCAGTAGTATCATTCAACAGCAACACGAGAGTTTGGAGTTCCTCTCACTCCAGCGCGATGAGCTAACTGGAGATTTCCTGGAAACCATTCGTGGTGAGCTGAGTCAGTGCCGACGCCTAGCGCAGCTGTACCTGGACGACGACTGCCTCTCGTCAGGAGCTCTGCCGGTGCTTGCGTCCCTGCTGCCCAGTCTGCCCAAGCTCTTCTCGCTCAGAATGGCGAGGAATGATTTCCGAGATGCTGACGACGAAGCAAAGCTGTTCGCCGCCGCTGTCGAGAGCTGCTCATCTCTGAAGGAGCTGTGGATGCCTGAAAGAGCTCTAGTGTCTCCACGGCTGCGCGAAGCTCTAAGTGCCATGGCCAGAGATGATGTGAATGTGCAGTACAAGCAGTTTCGCTGGTACGACGAAGTGGAGAATGACGAAGAAGAAGAAGAAGACGAGTACGGCGATGAAGGAGATAGTGAGAGTGAGGAATGAGGAGGTGAGAGGATTCATACAGTCCGTCTGTGTATCCTCTTTGGAGTGAAACATGCGTGTGTGCATGCGTGCTAGTGCTTCCGCGGGTGTGTGTTTGTACATGCGTGTCTGTGTGTATACTTGAGCGTGTACATGTACGTGTGTATACTTGAGTGTGCATTTGTGCGTATGTGTGTCTGTACGCTTGTGTGTTCGGCTGGTCATTCGCCCCTTCATTTTCAGAGAATACCAGGACTCACTGTTTTGACCTTTGAACCTTGAACTTTGGACCCTGTAAATGCATATTTTCGTTTCGTAATTTTTTCCGGTAATTGTGGACTTGTCTTTGAAAGAATATGTAGTAATGAATTTTTCACTACTGTTCATGCCTTTTTTCCTAGAATTGGTGTGAACATTTCTTTGCATGAACACTGCACATGTACATACACTGTGTCATTCTCTGGTTTGTAGATTATTTGATGAAATTTGTCATGTTTGGTTTATAAAAACTTGGCAAAAAGATTGAAAATGAATCATATCAAACGTAGAATGTTGATGTAGATATGTTTCTTGAAATCGAACACTATTTCCTCAGTAGTGAGATTTCACATTCAGTTGGTATTAGAATTCTATGACGAGTGTACTTCAAGTTTGTTTCTGTGTGTGTGTGTGTGTGTGGTGTGTGTGTGTGTGTGTGTGTGTGTGTGTGTGGTGTGTGTGTGTGTGGTGTGTGTGTGTGTGTGGTGTGTGTGTGTGTGTGTGTGTGTGTGTGTGTGTGTGTGTGTGTGTGTGGTGTGTGTGGTGTGTGTGTGTGTTTGTGAATGTGTACATGACATTGCATATAAAATAATATAAGTGTGCATTCATGTATAGCGGCTCTTCACCTTCACTAGCTACATTGTACTAGCAACAGTTACCAGTTGTTAGCTATACCGGCCTACACCTCTTGAGCGTAAACACATTACATTCACATGTACATGTACCACCACGCATTGCATGCGCGGCAGTCTAGAACCGGAACGCATTACATTCGCATGTACATATACCACGCATTCACAGCATTCTTGACACGGCTCACACTCTCCCTCTCTCTCCCACACATTGCTTTTGTAATCCATGCATTCAGAGACTGAGCTTAGGCTATGTTTGGTCTCCATTCCTCCGCATAGCTGTCACCAGACCTTCTTTCTTTTCCTCACCACCTCACACACAACAACTATTGCTTCCAGCTGTTCTAGCAATGCCGTAGGAAGTGTAGCCACCCTCGACTCCATCCACATGCCTACTCTTCTCAGTACCGCTACAATATTCTCCATTGTACTCCACCTAGAACATAGACAAGTGTGTCTGCCTGCTGCCGGGTCTCCATTTGACATGATACACAAGGCACGGGGCGGGGCCCCAGGACCACATGGGGCACGTGCACCCCCCCCCCCCCAATATGTCGACCTAGGTTCAGCATGCACACATTGACTATGAATGAAAGGCACCAGCCAACCTACGCATAGTCATTATGCGGCGGTGCACCCCCCCCCCCCACCCTAAAACGGGGGGACCAGCTACGCCCCTGATACACGTTCAAAAACCAATCCGAGGGTCGCAGGCGCCACGTGTGCCTTGGCCTTGATGTATATTATTAACACATTCATGAGTATTTATTTGCTGCTTCTGCTGCTGCTGCTGCTGTTGCTGCTGCTGCTGCTGCTGTTGCTGCTGCTGCTGCTGCTGTTGCTGCTGCTGCTGCTACTGCTGCTGCTGTTGCTGCTACTGCTGCTGCTGCTGCTGCTCATATCACCATGGTAATGACTGTGAAGAGTAATGGTAGGAAAAGTCTGGACAATTTTTCCACTGACTTCTGTGCTTTCCTGTGTTAGTTTGCGTCGCCTCAACCAAAATATCTACTATATCCCATGGCAAGGCGGTTTCACCAAATCGTGCCAGTTCTGAGCTGGGTGACGTGTTCAGCGATATCCCGCTCGGTTCACATAGTAGGTCACGCCAAGAGTAAAAAATTAATAAGTACAGTCAACTTCGCTAATAACGACTGCGGATACAATGACATTTCGCGAATAACGACAGAATTTCCATGCCCAGAGCAAAATCCAATCTAACTGTAATACATATAATGAGACTTCGGGTACACTATCAGGACACTTCGCAAATATGGACACTTTTCTGGTGCCCCGCCATGTGTCGTTATACGCAAAATTGACTGTATAGAACCAGACACGGATGTCAGGGCAGGTATCGTTGATTCAGACCCTCGAGCGTAGCCCGAGGCCGACGGCCGAGGTCTCGGCTCGAGGGCCTGAATCAACGATACCTGCCCGGACCGTACACATGGTACATATCTGATTGTGTTTCAGACTGCCACCCACGTACAACATACATACCGTATTTCCCAGAATATCGCACCTTTGTACACTAAATTTCAAGGGTAAAAACAGGGTGGGGGGGGGGGAGGGCGACTTACAATCGAGCATGACTTACCACTGAAGTCAATACAGTGGTCCCTCTATAATCCGGCACCATTTGTGCCACGAAAATCTGCTGGATTAGGGAGGGTGCTGGATTAACAAATCTGATTTACTGCTGCAATGTGCATGAAGAGGACATTTTGGCTACTGAAAATTGTGCTGGTTCATCGAGGGTGCTGGATTATAAAGTGCCGGATTAGAGAGGGACGACTGTACAATGAAACCTGTGTAAGACGACTGTTCAAGGGACCTTCAAAACGTGGTCTCTGTTACCAGGTGGTCTCCTTATCCAGGGTCATTTGACTTGAAATAGCATCCCTTGGTCCCGGTTGCAGTGGTCTTCTAGGACAGGTGGTCAATATGGCTAAGACCTGAAAATGGCGGTGCGACTTATAATTGAGTGTGACTTCTATTCGGTGAAATGCGGTAAATATATTATAGTGCCTTCATCAATCCACATAAACCATGATACTAGCTTTGCAAGCAAGTGAAAGAAGACAGTAAGATTGAGAGGAACAAAGAAACAAGCCTTGCTAGCCATTGGCGGACTATGCTCGGCCAATCGTCAAATTATGCTTTTGATTATGCCACAATTATGCCAACAAATATTCTGAATTACGCTGAATTATGCTCGGTTCCACTATGTATTCACGCTGTACATACATGTAGAGGATTGAGAAACCACGCATACACACACGCGGCCCCAGGGCTTTCTGACAAAGCTGTATTATGCTCTAAGCATAATTTTTGTCTGAACCTAAAGATTATGCCGACCTTACACGTTGGAATCCGTACATTATGCCGGAGGACAAAGCTGCATTATGCCCTAAGCATAATTTTTTGTCTAAACCGAAAGATTATGCCGACCTTACACGTTGGAATCCGTATAATTATGCGGGAGCATAATTTTTTGACAAAATCCCAAGATTATGCCAAATATTATGCCGGCATAATCCGCCAAGGGCTTAAAATCGCAACCTAAAATTACAGAGTTCTTGTGCAAAACCCTACAAAAAAGGGAGCAGAAATAGCAGAAGTGCAGCGGCAGCAAACTCGTAGATCTACACCCCTTCCTGCTGTGAACCACCATTTTACACAGTGCAAGGCAGTAGCCTGTTGCATGTATCCTACATGTGTACCGGGCCCAGTGTGATGCCGTCTTTCTCGATTTCTCGAAGGCATTTGATCGTACCAGCCATCGCCTCCTAGCCTCATGTCTGTCCGGTTGGTGTGCACCTGACTCATTCGCGTGGCTGATGGACTTCCTGGAAGGCCGATCAATGTCTGTGCGGGTCGGAACCTCCTTATCAACCCATATGTCGCTCACCGCTGGTGTGCCACAAGGCTCCCACCTAGGCCCTCTATTATTCAACCTTTCTATCAACTCCCTTCCCAGCATTCCCCAATCCAGCGATCTGACTCTGTTTGCGGATGATTCCAACATGGTCTGCGTTTCTCCGCCTACTGTCGTACCCGCCGCGCACACTGCCTCCCTGCAACTAGACCTTGATAGATGTGTGAACTGGTCCCATAAAGCTGAAGCAGTTTTCAATGCTAACAAATGTGTCCATGTTCCCTTTTGCAGACCTAAATCAAACCCACCTAATCCCAGGACCGTCACCATGGCCGGTACGTTACTGACCCAGCCCTCTTCCCACCGCCATCTGGGCATCATCCTCACTCCTTCACTCAATCTGTCCCCCCATATTCAACACATTACCAGCAAATTTCGAGGTCGGGTTTTTCTTTTAAACCACATGTCCAACTTCCTTCCTTTTCCTGCTGTGAATCTTTTGTATAAATGTTATGTTCGTCCCCTCCTTGAATATGCTGTTCCCGTTTGGATGTTTTCCGTTTCAGCCACCATGTCCACAACCCTTGATAAACTGCAGGCTACTGCTGCTAGAGCATACCTAAATAGTAAACTCAAGCGTCGGCCTGACTGGACGACTTCCAAAGAAGACCTCAATGTTCTGTCCTCTTGGGAATCTTTAGCATGGCGACGGCAGATTCTTGGCCTTGTCTATTTCCACCATGTATTCTCCCAATACCCCTCCTTGTTGTCTCACTTCCAGCTACCCTCTTCCCAAAGCAGTCGTCACCCTTCATCCATAATTCTTCCTAAAGCTGGCACCTTCTTTCGTAAATCAACCCTTTTTTCTTTGAGTGTTGCCTGGAATAAACTCCCTGAAGATATTCGTTCACTCTCTACAACAGCGAAATTTAGTATTGCTGTTCGTCGGTATCATTCGCAATCTATGTTTTCTTTGAAAGGTATTCCTGACTTTTGTGTCTAGGCTAACCACATCTATGATAGTTTCAATAGTTTGTGTATATGTCAGTTATAGTAGTCCGCAATGCTGCTTTTCTAATTCTCATTATGATTAGCATGCAATGTACTACCCGAAGTACTGAATTTACTTCTTCTGTACTCTATATTCTAATGTATCTTCTACCTCTTCTCCCTTACGAACATACTTTCTCATTTTCCATACTTAGGAGACTCCCTTCGATAGGCATCTATTTGCCTCTGGAGGATCCGTGAAATAAAAATCAATCAAAAAATCAATCAATCAATGTATAATCATGTAGACCTATTATGTACATCATTCCAGTGCAAGGAAAAGGGAATGCACATTATCATAACTACCGTTGATCTTCTGTTTCTGAAATCAGTCTGAAGGCAGGCGAGAAATGAGCGAGTACGAGTATGCATTTGTCCCACATGTAGTCGGTGAATCGGTGACTTGATTTTTTGATCCCATCCCATGGGGCCAATTGCGCCAAGTTTGCGAAATAGTTCGCGAAAATGAAGGAAGTTGCGAAAGTTGCGAAAGTTGCGATTTCACCAACAACGAAAAGTTGTGAAAAAAAGTGGCGAGCATCTTTGGGAAGGGGCTACCTGCTGGGCTGTAAGTTTGTTAGCATAGTACTTATTCCTTCATTTTACAAAACATACTTCAAATGTCATTTCATTATTTTATGAAGCTCATAGCTTTATAACTGAGACTGGCTTTATAATCGAATATACCGCCATGGCTTTAAAGGTGCAGACATACGGTATCATTGCAAATAACACTGAGTAATTACACAAAAACCAGCATGTTGTGGCTGTGCGAAAGGGGGCATATGCTTTCGCGGCGTGTGTGCCTCAAGCGACAATCCG